CCGCCTCGTCCCCTCCCGCCCATCGCCCTCCCTCCCCCCCCACCCCCTCCCGTCCCCTACACTCACTTTCTTTTGAAGGCAGCGGGTTTTTCTCTTGCGTCTCTGTCTTCTTCAGTTTGGACTTGTCAAATTTTTCGATCTCGGCCATGTCGGGCTTGTCGGACATGTTGGCAGGTGGCTCTGAGCGCACAACGGGAGGGAACAGCCCGTTATCCCAGGCACAGCTCCCGGCCCCCCCCCCCCCCCGCAAACCCCCACACCCCCCGGCAGCAGAGCGGCCGCGCCCGCCGCATCAAGGCGGCAGCGACGCCGCACGGCGGCTCCGACTGCAGCGGGGCTCCGCCTCGGGAGCCGAAAACTCCACGCACGCCGAAATCACGGCGGGTAATTAAATATATATACATACATGTATATACATATATACACATATACACATATAATTATTTATTTTTTAAGGGAAAAAGCCGAAATTTCATCCAGCATCTGAGCCCACAACCCGGTGGCAGCCCTCAATATGTGCACTCACAATAGAGGGGCAGCGGCCGCATTTTCACCCCGATAAAAAAAAAAAAAAAGAAAAAAAGAAAAAAAAAAAAGAAAAATATTTCAAACCGAAGCACCCGGCCGGCAACAAAGCCGCCCTCCCGCTCCCGGCCGGCCGCCGCCCCACAGCTCTCAGACAATAGCCCCCCCCCCCCCCCCCCCAGACAATAACCCGCCCGCCCCCCCCTCGGCCAACATGCCCCCACCCTGCCCTCATCCCCCTTGCCTCGGGGGGCACCGGGCGGACCCGCGCTGGGGCCGGCGGACCCACCGGTGTCGCCGCGCGGTGATGCTCAACCCTGCCGCTCGCTGCTGCCGCCGCTCCGCACACCAATGTACAGAGGGCTCGCTGGCGGGGCGGTTTTATCTCCGCGCCTATGCAAATCGCACGGTGATGTCACACTTTTTTTTTTTTTTTTTTTCTTTTTGCCGCTTTCCGCCCTTTTCTGTGTCTCCTTTGCTCATTTGTATTTTTTTTTTAAATCCCTCCCCACTCACCCCCTTCCCCCTTCCCCCCCCTTCGCCGCCCAACCCTCCCTCTCCCCGCTCACACAGCTACAGGCACACACACACATACGCACACGCACACCCCAAAACCGCCCTGGCCCGATGGAGGCGCCCCGGGGGGCTGTCGCGGCTCCCGGCCTCCTCCCCCCGCCGCCACAGAGACTCGGAGCGGGACGCGCCTGGGGCGGGGACGTGCGGCTCCCGAGCAGGGACAGGGTATGGGGCAGGGGCAAAGCGGGCAGCGGCCGTGCTGTAGGTTTTGCGGTGCTTTTGCCCCTTTCCTTCCCGTTGAGCAATGTCAGCCGGCCGGTTGCGTTACGCGGATTTCCTCATTTCGAAGGAAAACAAGAAACCCTCCGGGCTTTAAGAGCTGCGGGTACTTCCCCCTCTCTCTCCCCGACCTCCTTTGCAACCGCGCCGCAAGGGAAAGAATAAAGCCCATCGCTGCCCTTGCAGCCCTGCCGCAAAGGAGAGCCGTGCCTCTCCGCGCCAGCCCCGCAGACAATGGACCCGGCCACTGCGTGGCCGCTCCCGGGCTGCTGCCAGGGCACCGCGCCGTGAACGCGGGTCCAGTCCCTCCCCGCGCCGCAGCATCCGCTTTCCCGTCGGCACGCCGGCAGCGGGTCCCCAGCAGCCTTAAGAGCAGCATCGTGGGGCGATTGGTGATGGGTGGGGTGAACAGGAGGCTCTGCGTTTTGTGTTTACGGCGCCGGGCAATAAACAGAGATATTCGTACGTAGAGTGTGCAGGGATGACGACGAGAAGGGAAGCTCCGCGCCTTTGTCTGGCAGCAACGCGGAGGAGGGGGGGGGGGGGGGGGCGGGAGAGGCGTGCATGCAGTGCTGCTGCTGTGGGACATGTGCATAGGGCTGTGTGTGCCCATCTGCAGCACATCGGGTACGGCGTGGTTGGTGCTGAATTGGAAGCGAACAGGATTAATGCATGCAAGCAGAGCTGTAAATACATTTCACTGCATTCCTTGGGGATGCTGCTGCCCTCGAGGCCTGCCTCTCTGCCTTGGCTGGCCGTTTTTCACAGCACCGCCAGATGTTCTGTCATGGAGTAATAGCTTGTCCCCATGGTCATCCCAATAGGTCTTTGCAATAGCAGACTGGGTTTTCCGGTTTGCAGAATCACAGAACTGTAGGGATTGCAAGTGACCTGTGGAGATCTATCTAGTCCCACCCCCTGCTATAGCAGATTTCCCACAGTAGATTGTATGGGGAAGTGTTCGGTCAGGTCTTAAGTATGTCCAGGGAAGAAGATTCACTGTAGTTCAGCCAAAAGCTGAGCTCCTTCACTTTTGGTGGTGCAGGGAGTAACGTCTGCCTTATTTCCCTTGTCCGTGAGTGCCTCCAAAAGTGAGATGGACAGAAACTATTGCTGGGAGATGTGGTATGAACTGGAGGTACTCTGATGAGCCAGGAATGGTGCAGGACTGAAGGTAACAGGAATTGCTTTGGGAAGAAATGGCAAGGAGCACAGCTTATCATTTGGCAGTATTTACAGATTTCCATAATAACAGCATAAAAGCATTCCAGAGGGATGTGCCATGTTCAAAGCAGGCTGACTTTGCTAGCTTTTGAGTGAGTTCTTCAAAATGATTTCATGGCCTTTTGCTTCTTTGACACTTTTGAGTGCTGAACCTTGTGACTGACGATTGTGCAGTCTCTCTAATTATCACTTCATCAGCATCCCCTGTCATGTTACAGCTTCAGTTTTCAGTTTTGCCAAAGATTTTTTTTTTTTTAACCTTCCAAGTGATGGTAAATTTATTAGAAATATTCTTTAGGGGATTTCTCCTTTGTGGCTACTGCAGTCACTCATGCATGTGTTTGGTTAAAGCAACATTGCCCCAACCTGAGTGTGGTAACGCACTTCTGAAACTGAAGAACAGTGGATGCTGATGGGGCTGGGTCTGATTTTTCAATGGCAGCTTGTCTAGCAGCAGCACTGCCTTCCTTCACTTCTGCTCATTTCGGGACAGAGCCACAGGTCGCCTAAATCAGTGCAGTCCACATGCTTAAATGGAGCTTTGCTGATATGTGTAAAGCAGGCCCCGCTGCTGAGTTTAGATTCAATTACAGTCCTGAGAGACAGAGACAGATAAAAGCTTTACACTTCTACAGCTTCTCTGCCTTCCTGTATCTCCCTTTCAGTGAATTGGTATTGACATAGCCCCAGCCCCTTAGAAAAAACATGTGCATCTCACTGTGTGTGTGAGTAAAAGGAAGGTGTTACGTTCCAATGGCAGGATGCAGGCTGATTTCTGTACAAGTCGATCTTGACTACAGCATCTTGTCTTAGTGACATAATTACAGAAATGGCATATCTGTATGTCCTTGTGTGCCCCTTCTTTTTGTCACTATATGGACAGCATGGGGGAGACCGATGTCCATGCAAGACTGCCCTGTGCCAAACTGCATCTGGGGATAACAAACTCAATGGATGCTAGGGTGTGGCAAAGCTGCCATCCTTAATAAATTCCCTAGGTCATATCATCTAAAGGACAGTTAGCTTATCTTTGACCTTTGAGGTTCCTTCCCACCCAAACCATTCTGTGATTCTTAGGAGCTCTTATTACGGATATTGATGAGCTTCTGCATTTCTTAATCATTTGCTTGTTTGTTTGTTTGGTGTCAGCAACCAACAAATATTCGGTGATGTAATGCCCTTCCAGGCATGCAGTTTCCCATGCATTTGCATGCGAAAGGAGAGCACTTTTCAACACAGAGCTCATCTCATTTGCAACAGTTTTCAGCTAAAAACATGGAGGGCTTAAACTGCACCAAGGCAGCAAGTTCTGTCTTGCACTGTAGGGAAGTCTCAGAATGGGAAACTTAGTAAGTGGAAACCTGTGCTTCTTTTGTCTCCTTCGTATGGCCATGCTTGTAGCCTTGAGATGAAGTTCAACATGCCTTTTCCAGTAAGTATCCGTATTCTCATATGTGAGAGTGTGAGACTGAGGAAATAAAAGAGTTCCTCAAGGGCACACAGCAGAGAGGCTTAATCAGATATTAATTGATGTCGGTAGGAGTGTTTGTATCTAAATTGCCTTTAGCTTGTGCTTGAACTCTGACTGAAGAGTGTTTTGAAGCATGATTGGGAACTCAGATCTTCTGACCTCGTGCTAATTCTTCCATACAGTTATTGCGTTTATTAAAATACAATAAAATAAAGGAATCAAGGGGACACAAAATGTCTGCGTTAAAGCACCCAAGATTAATTCCCATTTCAGCTTATTATTCATAATGGGATCCCTGGCACATCAAATGACTCTCAAGATAAAAATAAACTCTGTGTGTAAATTTCTCTATCATATGGAAGATAAATTTAGAGGAAGAGAAGCCAAGTTATTGTTTTCCAGGCCTCAGTTTCACATGTGAAATCATATTTTCACAGGGTTGACTTACTGAGGGAGAATGCATCCTCTGACTCCATATACCATTAGAGGAAACACGAGCTGGCAGAAATCCTCAGGGGGTAAGTGGGGAGAAGACAATCACATTTTGTCATTTCTGGCTGCAGTGCCTTGCTGCCAGCAGTATGTCCATGGTGACCTTGAGATTTGGGGTGCTCAGCTGGTCCAGTATCAGAGCACAGTGTTTGTTTTGGGTAACATTCGGTGAATGCTCTGGGCAAAAACCCGTAAAAATAGGTAATTCACAGAGCAGTGTGTGTAAAGGGAGAGCCTTTCCATCTCCACAAAGCTTGATTTCAGCAGAGAAATTGCAAAATTCCTGTTCTAGCTGGACAGATAGTGGCACTGATGGCTTTGCAAATAGTGACATTTCCTTTTGTCCCTATTTGACAAAGGGAATTTTGCAACAGGACAGGACCGTAAGCAAGTGGTGCTTGTGGGAGTGGAGAATGCAGCTTAGTAAACTCAGATAGCTGCTGCACAGGAAGCGCAGTACCCCAGAGCAGCAGATGCTCCTCTCCCACACCAATCTGCCTGACTCTGGTTTACTGCCTTCCCTACATCCGTGAGCAATAAGAGAAGAGTGCCGCGTCTTGCTCTGAACACATGCAGAAGCTGTAGCAAAGCTCCAGTCTTTGGGCTAGGTTACTTGGAACTTGGAGCAGAAGGCAGCATGCAGCCTGTAACAAAGCCAGCAAGACCAGGAGGCCTTCAGCTGTGGTTTCCAGCTTTTGAGGGATGATAGGAATTTACTCTCATCATGTTTCGAAAATTTTAATTAACAGAGGGGAAAGCAGTCTGTTTTCAGCCTTCAGAAAGATTTCTTTGAGTCCGCAGGGAACCACCCAGCTCTTGGTTCTCTGTCTTATGTGTTTCACCATAGAATCATAGAGTCATGGAATCACAGGTTTGGAAAGGACCTACCAGATCATCTAGTCCAACCGTCCTCCCATTACCATTGCTACCATTGCAGCTAATTTGAGAAGATTTGTGACTTACGAGTTTCCAAACTACCTTCTCTGTCTGGAGTGCTTTCCTACCAGATGTGTGTGCAAAATCTGAGATTGAAAGCTAGCTCTAGAAAAAGTTGGTGATCCACAAAGTATCCAAGAGAAGTGAAAACAATGTCCCAGCATATCTCCTGGCTGAAGGAGGCGTTTCCGTGCCAAATTTTCACAAGTGCATGTGATCACTTTCTGAATTTTGCAACTATTTTTCTTTCCTCTAATTCAGATGAGGAAAAATAATAGTTTTGAAAGCATGGAAGTAGCAGCATTAGCATAATGCATCACAAACTTGGAATGCAAACTACTCCTAGAATCACTTGGCCCTGTCCAACAACCCCTTTATCCTCCCAGTGTTAAGCTCCTCTGTAAGTCATGTGCATAGGTGTTGACAGAGAGGGCAAACAGAGCTCTCAGGCAAATGGGGAGATTGGATTGTTGTGTTACCATTGAATACGAGTTTCTTTCAATGCAAAGATAAAGCTAGATATACATTCAAATGACTGTGGTCTCTTTATTCAATGCACAAGTGAGTCCACATATGCCAAAGACAAGAAGTCATTCTGATCAGAATCTCTCTGATAAAGAGATGACCAAGGCAAACAGGCTGTAGGTAGCCATGGTAACCCACTGTGGGCTGATCTAAGGGGGCTGCCCAGGCAACCTTCTCAGGATGCCCATTCTGCACACTGTCCTCAGAGGCAAACTGCACAGTATCAGCATGTACCTGATATCATGAAATTGGTGAAATGTGTCACGCCAAGAGTGCAGTCCCATCCCTCCAAAGCTGATGTTTCCATAACATAACTGGACATGATACAGAACAGTAGCACAAGTCAATATGCGTTGGTGCACAGCAGAATTATTTATTTAGCTTGTAAAATAGCAGAGCCCTGGAGAACATGCCTGTGCTGTGCAGGCACAGCATAGCTATCTCTGAGCTAAGTTTAAACATGCAGCAGCCTGGAGCTCACTCCAGGTTTATTGCTTTGTGTTGGTTTTCATGTGTGGATGTAATCTCCTGTGAGGTGCTGCCGGCCCTACTGATGCATTCACTTTGAAACCACCTTAAGCTATTGAGCTCCTTTGTGTTCTGGCTCCCCCAAACCCATTCAGTTGCAACAGTCTTTGTTCTTATCACCTGTAAGACTGTAGGCAGGCAAGATTTCTCAGTTAGTGTGAGTTTACCTATCTGATTGATCTACTTGTTTTTCTCCACAAATCCCTTCTTTAATTAATTTATTTCCGGCAAACAGGCAATAACAACAAAATCCCCTAAGCTTGCTGCACAATCGTGTGTAGAAATGGCTGTGGGGTCTGCTCACACCCTGACTCACCTCATTCTTTGCCAGGTGAGGGAGCAAAGGACGAAGCTGCAGGGGGATAGCTCAACCCATTGTAAAGCTTTTATTGGCAGGAGGCTTTCTTCACAGAACTGCTTTGTGAAAAGTGAGGGAAAAGCGTTTGAGCTGCCACAGCCGTGCACTTCAGCTGCCTCTGACATACTTAAGTGACAGGGACACGGGTGTGTGGCACTTCCTTTTTGAGGACTAAAGGCACAGCTCTCACAGCGCAACCTGTGAGAGGCAAAAGCTCCCTCCTGGCCTCCACGCAGCTGCTGAGGCTTTGCAGGTCTTTGCCCTTCCTTTTCCAAGTGGGAGGGAGTTTTGAGGTCTGAATGCAAGCAGAGATGGGGATTGCAAGGGTCAACCATAGGAGAAAGGTCCCATGAGTGAATGGGTTGAATAGAACTGTGTATGGCAGGCACTTAGGGTTTTCCCAGACTTCTCTGTATTCCTTTTTCAAATAATCTACCATCATTACTGGGGCAATTAAGGCAGGCAGGCAGGAAGCTTGGGAAAGCACTGCTCTTTCAATTACTTGGAAGTTTTTAGGTTATTCCATGCAGAAGGATATGGAGCAGTGCTAGAGGTTAAAGATTGATAACTCTTGTGATTTTTCTGTTTGCAGTGCCAGGCTCAGAGAAATGTACCCAAGGACACAGTCAGAAGCAGGAGAAAAGTGATGGCAGAGGCAGATGGAGCAGGGTCCAGTTGTTTTGCAGAAAAAGGACCCCAGAGCTGCTCACAGTACCAGATGCCACTGGGGTCTGTTGCATCTGTTTGCAGTTGTCACTTCTGCTGCTTGTTATCACTGGGCACAAGTTTGTTTATATCTGACTGAAACAAAAGCATTTCCTGGCATGTTTTAGGGCTGGTAGGAAGTTACCACAAACATGCACAGGAAAAATAACAATAAGAATGTGCACTGACGTAGCAGTGAGACCAGAACATGTTACTGCAGGCAGGTGTGCAGAGAGCTCATTTCTTATAGTGAGGTACATCACTACTGTGCACTAGAATCTAAACAGCTATACGCAACAGAAAGAGCAAAAATAGGCAGGTTTCCAATTTTTGATTCATGGGTGTTTTTCTCCTGATATTAATAAAGATGAATCTGAGACCAACTTCCAATTTTTTTCAGCTGTTCAAAATGCCTTAAAAAGAACACATGGGAAACCAGGGATTATCAAAGTTCCAAACAGGAACACATCTACATGTATATGTAGCCTATTCATTTTCTGCTCCTACATTCATAATACATTTTATTCCACAGCTACAGCCTTGATAAAATCAGAATTATGGGATGAGAAGCAGGAGCAGCCCTGCAGATTGAATTAGATGTGAAAGTTCATTGTTTGCACCCATAAATCATGCAAGTATGCAGAGCCCATGCTGTTCTAGCAGGGTTGTGTCCACTAGTAACGAACTGCTGCCACCAGTGGGCTGCAGTTTGTATTGACATATGCTTGTAGTGCTGCCCATCTAGGACATGACAATAAAAGCCCAAATATGCTGTGTTTCCAGGTCCACAGTGAAGGCATGCCTGCACAGGGCAGTTGTAGGGAGCTGTGTCTGAAGTCCAGAAAGTCATGTCTGTCTCTCCAATACACAGTAGACATAGCAGTTACTCTGTTGGTTTTACCCTCACTTGCAAATTCTGCTAGTAATTTTTTCCTGCTAAACTTCACTGCACGTCTGGGAGTGTTAGTCTTCCCACAATGGCATACTTGGCAGAAATACCTTTGAATATGTATGACTTGTAGGAATGAACTGGTAGTGATTGCCATTTTGCACAGGTCAGACATCCATATTAATGGCAGGCTAAACTTCTGACACTGAAGAACATTTTCAGAAGAAAAGGTACGCACTGTGTCCTGACATACACGAAGCATGACACCTCTGAGTGTCCAGTGCCTCACTCTTGCCAAAGATCCAGAAATGGAATCACTTGAGAATGCCTTAGTGCTCACTCAGACCATGATTAACAGGCACAAGGAAACCTGATTCCTCAAAAGCATGACATTTTCCCACTTTTTTTGCATCATAAAATACTGCAAAAGATTGTACTGATGATAATCATTACACATGTGTTTATGAGCATACGATAAATAAAATAAGAGTATCATAGAATCATTTCAGTTGGAAAAGACTTTCTGGATCAAGTTTAACCACCAACCTGACCTACCGAGTCCCATCACTAAACCTTGTACCTTACTGCCATGTCCATACATCACACAAATAACTCCAGGGACGGGGACTTCACCAATTTCCTGGGAAAAGTGTTCCATGAATGTATATAATTCACACATAATGTAATGTAATGTAAATGTAATGTAATACACAAATAATATGATTACTATGTCAATATAACATCATAACATGTACTACATAATGTAGCATAATACAGTGCAAGGTGATTTAATGTATTTGTAATATAATACTGTATTATAATACATTGTTCTATGTTGGCTCTGTGGTTTTAGGTATATTCCTTAGGGTCAGGGAGGTTCAGATTAACAGCTTTTAACTGCTAGAAAATATCCTGCTAAGGCAGTAATGCTTATTATAGAATGTCCAGTTTATATACCATGAGATGAAAACAAGGAAGCAGGGCAATGGCAAATCATTCCTATTTGGACAGACTACCATCTTAAACAAAATTATTTAAGAAGACAAACTCCTCATCCAAAATGTATTTCAAAGAATCACAGAATTGTAGTGGTTGGAACAGACCTCTGGAGATCATCTAGTCCAACTCACTGCTAAAGCAGCTTCCCTACAGCAAGTTACACAGGAAAGCACCCAGGTGGGTCTTGAATATCTTGAATAACCTTTCTGGACAGCCTGTTCCTGTTCTCTGTCACCCTTACCATAAAGAAGTTCTTCCTCATGTTTGTGTGGAACTTCCTGTATTCCAGTTAGCGCCCATTGCCCCTTGTCCTGTTGCTGGGCACCACTGAACAGAGCCTGATCCCATCTGCTTGACTTCTGCCTTTCAGCTATTTGTAAGCACTGATCAGATCCTCAGCCTTATCTTCTCCTGGTTGAACGGTCCCAGGTCTCTCAGTCTTTCCTCATAAGGGAGATGCTCCAGGTCCCCAGTCATCGTTTGCTCAGCTATGTCCAAAAGTTCAGTCATTCTTGAACTGAAGAGCCCAGAACTGGACACAGTACTGCAGATACGGCCTCACCAGGAGAGAGTAGAGGGATGGATCTCACCCTTCTGGCCTTACTCATTTTATGCTGCTTAATCATTAAATAGTATGCTCCTTTTCTAAAATCCCATAATATGAAGAAAAGGAAGTTATGTTATGTCCTGGAACAATATGAATTTAGACAAAGAATAAGAATGTAGCTTTATTAGCAACAGCAGGATATTCTCATGGCCATTGGAATGAATCTCTAGAACAAGAAATAAAATGTTTTGTTGATGTTCAGATTTCTTCAGCCCATGCTACTGAGCACCATCACTTCAGTATCCCTTAACCATATACACGTGTGGGCTTCCAGCTTTGTGGTTATGTTCTCCAAAAATAACTTTCATTAAATCTGCTGGAATTGCTGGAACTGACAGCTGCTGTTTACACAATACTTGGAAAATAATAATTTATTTTGAAGGTGAAATGAAAATTTTGAGGACTAGTTTTGTCTGCTTTTAACATTAAAAAAAAAATTAAAAAATGAAACACTAGCATTTATGGACTTTGTCTCCCTAATGGGAGAGGGAAAAGCAAGGGTTGTGAAGAGAATATGTCAAGATGAAATGCTGTAGTTTTTCAGTTTCCTCTTTTTAGTTATAATCAGAGACCCAAAGATGGGAAACCTGCAGTCAAGGTGTGGGGCATTCACTCTGTAGTGGCTGCAGTAACAACATTTGGCAAACTAACCTGACAGCCATGAACGTAAGCACACAATAGATGCAGAGCAGGAATCTTCATAATCTCAGTTGTTCTGTAGTTGGGAAGCTGCAGCAAATTGTACGTATCTTCCAGCAGAATTATATTTATATGTATTGACATTAATAAATGGCTTTTGTTGTTTTTTCCTCCAATGAACACCTGGAAATTTCTCGGGAAAATTAGATCTGCGATTATGGTTTGAAATAACTTTCTCTTATTGTTTCCCACAGCATTTTTATAGTTGTTCTCCACTCCCAGATCAATAGTCACTGAGCTGGTGTACTGAAGCTGTATTGCAGTTGAAAAGCAAGAAATTGCAATAACATAATCATCTGAAATATTATAAGTCAGTAAGTCACCCCAGAAGATTTGAAGCAGCAGATCTGCTAGCAATACACACAATCTCATTACCATCAACTGCTGGGCAAACGCCTTGGTGGGTAGATAAGGCTGCCTACATTTTATTTAATTGAAGGTGTATATGGATTCATTAGCTGAATTATAATTAGATTTTTAACATGTGCTCAGAAAATATTCTATGATGAGTTAATTTTGCTTCTGGAAAATATTAAGATGTTGCTTCCTAACACATTATAATAAAAGAGCTAGTAGAGCAGAGGATGAAAGAGAATAAGTAACTACCTTACATTAAAAGAAAATCCCCTGGGAGATATCTCCTATGTTACTCCAAACTGAGACAGTGAGAAAAAAATTAAAATACTAGTGCCATAGATTAGAAGCAGCAGGAAAGAAGAAATAACCCAGTTTGAGTGTAGTGTGTGATCAACGCGGGAGAGTTTCAAAGACCCACTCGTGTCCTTGGCATCCAGTACTGAGTGAAGCATGAGCCTCCATCTACCTTCAGGGCAATGGATGAATATAGGACTATATCTACTTCATAAAGCTTTCTGTTAGTTTTACCATGCTCTTGTTAATACCTTATCACAAGAACTCCCCAAACTAAATTTTAGCTGTATAAAAAGATCATTTCACCCACTGCATATGAGCTATCTTCCACTAACAATGGGACCCATTTTTGTGGCATGAAAACAGGTGATGAAAGGATATCCTGTTACTCTTTTTCCTCTGTGTCATTTATTTTCTTTCTTTAATCTTCATCAGGATCCTTTTTTCTTTTTGTTTTTTTTTGAAAGTAAACACTTGTAGTCTGATCAGGTTCCTTTCAGACAGATGTTTCCCATGGATTTCGTGACTATCTTCATTCTCTCCTTCTCTCCTCTCTTCCCATGAAACCAGGAGTGGGTAAGTGGGTATCTTTGGGGGAATTATTTTGCTGAGATATGGTCAACTGTACTTGTGCATGAATTGTATTAGTGCACCTATTAATTGATTGCTCAACGTGAGCCTTGAGCAATTTTTTGGACCTCAGCAGTTTGATTAGAATCATAGAATCATTAAGGCTGGAAAGACCACTAAGATCACCTCATCCAACCATCAACCTGTGACTACTCTAGACCATGTCTCTCAGCGCACCATCAACACATTTCTTGAACACCTCCAGAGATGGCGATTCTACCACCCCCCTGGGCAGCTCGTTCCAATGTTTCACTACTCTTTCTGAGAAGAAATTCTTCCCAATATTGAGCCTGAACCTCCCTTGGTGCTACTGGAGGCCATTCTCTCTCATCTGGATATGCTTCTCTTCTCTAGACAAGCTCCAGACCCTCAGTGTCTTTCTTGTAGTGAGGGGCCCCAAACTGAAAACAGACCTTGAGATGCTATTAGTCCCTATATCTGGAGCTAGCCACAAATGAAGAAGTGACATGTGGGACTGCTTTTTTTTTTTTTTCCTTCCCCAGCCAATGACTCTGTGAGTCTTCTTTCTGACATCCAAAACACTTTTATAAATATATATATATATTTATTATATCTATATATATATATATAATTTATATATATATTTATAAATATAAATCTTAACATGAGCCAGCAGTGTGCTCTGGCAGCTCGAAAGGCAAATGGGATCCTGGGCTCCATCAGGAGAGGGGTGGTCAGCAGGGACAGGGAGGTGATCGTCCCTCTCTACTCGGCTCTTGTGAGGCCCCATCTGGAGTACTGTGTCCAGGTGTGGAGCCCTCAGTACAAGAAAGACATTGAGATTTTGGAAAGGGTCCAGAGGAGGGCGACTAAGATGATCAGGGGGCTGGAGCACCTCCCCTATGAGGACAGGCTGAGGGAGTTGGGCTTGTTCAGCCTGGAGAAGAGAAGGCTGCGGGGTGACCTCATTGCAGCCTATCAATACCTGAAGGCAACCTACACCCAGGAGGGGAGTAAACTCTTCAAAAGGGCTGACAACAGCAGGACTAGGGGAAATGGATCCAAGTTGAAGGAGGGAAGATTTAGGTTGGATGTTAGGGGGAAGTTCTTTACAAGGAGAGTGGTTAGGCCCTGGAACGGGCTGCCCAGGGAGGTTGTGGATGCCCCGTCCTTGGACGTGTTTAAGGCCAGGTTGGACGGGGTCCTGGGCAACCTGATCTGAATGTGTGTGTTTGGTGGCCCTGCTAGGCAGGGGGGTTGGAACTACATGATCCTTGAGGTCCCTTCCAACCCGGGTGATTCTGTGTGATTCTGTGATTCTGTGAAAAGACATTATGTGCAGAATCATGCTGCCAAATTTGATGAATATTAAAAAATGCTTCATGGAGACAAAATAGAGAAATAGCTACAAAAAAGTCTCAACATAGTCTCAAACAAAAAACCTCAACATAGTCTTTTCTAAAAAGTCAAATGGAATTTGTTACAAAAGCTAGTTGCATGGTGACAAATCTGATTGCAAAACAATCAAAACCATTTACTGAAGGTAAGTTTATTAAGCAACGTATGGAAAGCATGACAGATATAATGTGTCCTGATTAAAAACACAAAAACAACAGGTTTTTCTAAAGTCAATTTATCTCACTAGACTGTAGCTATGTGAACAGAAGAAAGAGGAAAATCTACTGAAGGAATTTTGGAGAGTGAAGATGCTAATTGAAAATTCTTTTGCTTTGGCAATAGATAAAAGTACTGATGCTACAGATATGGCTCAACTTGCCATTTTCATTAGAGGTGTTGATAATGGACATAATGTCACTGAAGAAATAGCTTCTTAGATGCAAAAACACAATTAAACCTCTTGATTTGTATGAAGCAGTAAAAAAAATACGCTAAAGTGATTTTCTTCAACATATGTCAGTGTATCTGATGTAGCTACTAATGGTGCCCAGTGATGGTTGGTAAAAAAAGAGAGACTTAATAAAATTAATAGTAGACAATGCAATTGCTGCTGACAATTCAATGTTTGATGAACTATCATGGCATCATACATCAAGAAAATTTATGCGTGAAAGCTTTAAAAATTGATGATGTCATGTAAATTGTCATCTGAAGTTTGAATTTCATCAAGTCCGAGGGATTCAATCATCGCCAATTCCAGGAGTTCCTTAAAAGTATGGATTCTGATTGTGGGGACATCATTTACTTTTCTGAAGGAAGGTGTCTAAGTTGGGGTAA